AWTYTGAGTGTTTTATGTGCTGCAGAACAGGAACCTGCTGTAAAACAGCAATTATGCTGAGTCAGGCTTGATTTTTAATAATCTTTTCCTGTTAAATAAAAAAAAAATAAAAAGGGACTGGGCGGTATGACCTCTAATTCATATCACGGTATAAATTGAATCCCTTCACAGTAACGGTATATATCTCTGTAGAAAATTATGATAAAATGCAAAGATATTGTCATTTTTAGAGCTTTTATTTTGCAGAAAACTGTAATCATAATCAAACACAGTGTTTTTGCTGTAGTGCAAATGAACATAACACAAGTACAAAATAATGTTWTATATATATTGCAAAACAGTTTCAACAACAAACAAAAGCATTTCTCAAATTTTCAACAATATSAAAATAAAGTGGATGTTATAACCAGTACTTCAAGTAAAATCAGTCATTTAGACATAAAACAATTTTAAGTTGACATAAGTTGCCTAAAATATTATAGTGTGACAGGACCTTAAGCTGCACATAGTCCTGTCACAAATCAGTTTCAGATAACTGGAATGTAAGTGTGGTGAAGCCAAATAAATGTAATATCTCCTGCCATACGATGAGCTTCTGCCTGCTGAACTTATCAGCAGCTGCTCTGCTGCCTCTCAGAGCAGAAGATGGATTTATGACTGAACAAACGTCCACATCTTTTTTTATCATCTCTGTGGATAACAATACATAAAAGTTTTTTTCTCCGACAACTTGGATGTGAAAAAACTACAGTTGTTAAAGCTTCGCTCTGCGTGACGTACAGCAGGAGGGAGGAAATGATCCCGCWACATGACGTAGCTTTTCTACAGCAGGAGAGGAAATGTTGAGGATTTATTCTCTCTTTACGTGTTTTAAAACACTATATTTCTTCATTATATTTCAACCTCCTCCTGATCAGTTGTCTCTGCACTCACAGCCCTGTTGATACAGGTGTGATGATGTAACTGACGACAGGACGGCAGAGGGTAAATTTGTACCGTAGGCCAACTTTATATAGTTTCTACCATCTATCGCATATACTGCGCAGACTACTAGAATAGATCTATATGACCTGCAGAAAAAGATGAAAGTGTAAAATATGAAATGATGCAATAAGAGGGGATATATCTTTAGATAAAAAAACAACTTATAGCACATATCTGTGATTTGGAAATAACAGCTAATAAGGAAGAGATTTTTAAACTTTACCTGAACTCTGACGTAAACGACCACGTCCACAGGGAACGATGAGTAAGCCGACGTGGAGGAGGAAACCAAGGAGGTGGCTGATTCCTCCAGCGGTTCCACTGGATCGAACTGGCCCATGTCCTCCTCTTGGGTGGCCACAGATGCTAATATTCACACGACAACAAAGACTCATTACGCAATCGAACAATAACGTACAAAGCAGCTAAGCTCCATCTATAAAACAGAGACAAACCCATGTAGCTCCTCTCCACGGGGGTGATGGGAATAGTTTCCAGAGCTTTTTCTAGGAAGTCCAGTAAACAGGGGCTGATGACCATTTCCTCTGGCAGAGTCTGGAGGGCCACCCAGGCGTACAGCTTGGCTGTCTTTACCCCTCCACTACCTTTACCTTTGGCTGCAAAAACACATTACAGTTAACAGTCATGTGGAGGGGATCATCTTTTAACAAAAACAAAGTTAATTCTCAGGTTTTTTCCTCCGTTTTGTGCCTCGTCATGCATGGAGATGTTTGGTCAACGGTGCCCTCTTTATTCATGCGGGGTGAAACTACATGCTTTTGATTCTAAGGGTCTTATTATGGATGGTCAGATGGACGAGGTGTGACACTCCGGTGGCTAATCACGGCTGGCGCTAAAGCATGCAACTCTAAATGAGGAACTGCTCAGTACCTGATGGAATAGGTGGGGGCGGGGGAGGTAGGAGCGAGTTAGTCTTGCTTTGGACAGCAATGGGTGGGGTTGTAGGGCTGCTATCTTTCATACCAAACAGCTTGGACTCTTTGGAGAGGGTGCGGGGGAGGGAAGATCCACGCGACGCATTGGGCGACTCTGTCTTCAAGGTTTTAGAGTTGTAGTGCAGCTTCAGAATAACAAAAAAACAAAGAAATTTATTATTTAAAGTACAAAGAAAATAGAAACTTGTCCAATCTGAGTGTTGAGACAGAAGCTGACCTTCACGTCAACTCCTGGAATGTAGAAGACTGTGGTCTCCAGGTCACTGGATTTGGTTTGCAGAGTGGAGGGACATTTCTTTCCAGCCAGAAGGTGACTGGTGGAGGTGGAGGTGGGCTGGAGCTTTTTCTTTTTAGGGGGAGAATCCTGGTCCAGACTCTTAAGGCTGCGATCATAGCTCCTAAACAAACAATAGGAAGTAGAGTGTCGACATACTCAGGACACCAAGACAAGTCTTTATCTTTAAGTAGTAGTAGTAGTAGTAGTAGTAGTAGTAGTAGTAATAATAATAATAATATTTTTTAATTATTGCCTTAAGCGTTTATTCTGATTGAATTTTCTCCTGATTTACTTTGATTAATGTTCTTGTGTAAGTTAAATCACAGTTGCCAATTCTCTGTTATTAGGTTAATGCCCAATTTCAAAGTCATTGCGGCTAAAACATCTATTCACAGGCGACAAGATTACGTTTGAGGTGCTGATTAAAATTTACGCCATTTCAGTCCTTTTAAATTTTTGACATTTATTCCATTCATTATTGTTTATTAAAACTGATTTCATTTGTCTTTTATGACTTAATTCTGTTTGCATTTTACATTTTTGGTGATATCATTTTGGTCGTCATACAAATTACACTATTTCCTGCATTTGTTGCACCAACACATTGCATTTGTTGTTAATTATTATTATTATTATTATTATTATTATTATTATTATTATGCAATAAAACACAAAAAGGAATAAAACAAATGAAAACAATAAAACATCATAAATAACATGTTAAATAAAGGTGATGAAAGATGGAAGTTATACTGAATATGTCTACTAGATACTTTATCTGGTATCTGACTCAATTTTCTTGCCTCAACTTTCAGAGTTTTTTTTTTWAATTTCATTCATAAAAGAAACAAAAAGTCCATAAAAAACAAAGTAAATTAGTTACTGAATAAAAAGAGTGCAGAAAGAAGAAAAATAAATCGTATATCTGCCCTTTATGTTTAAGTTGTTTGTTCCTTCTAAAATAATTTCAATACAAACATCAAGGCTAAAATTAGTAAAATGTGAAAAAAAAMCCTAAAAGCTTAAAGTAGCAAATCCATAGCTAAAAGGCTAAAGTAGAAAAATGGTATTTAAAAAGATAAATGTAGCAGAATAGCTGCTAAACATTAAACATAGTAAAATAGGAGCAAAAAGCTAAAAGTAGTATAAGATTAGCGAAAAGTTAAATGTAGCATAAGAAAACAAAACAGAGCAATGAACTAACCTGGAACAGATTTAAAAGACAATATTGTTTTTGGATTAATTAAAGAGATCATAATGTATTTATATAGGGGATTTAACTTTAAATAAAAGATAAATATTTAGAAAAATGTAAAAAGTACAAGCTGAATGTTTTGATATATAAATAGTGTAATAGAATAAAGTATTGCAGAAGTATTTAGATTAAAAAATGCATAAAAGAACCATTAATAAAGAAACAACAACAACGCAAAACGAAAAGGCTTGAGTCAGAAGAGAGCGATTCAGTGTACCTCCTGCAGGAAATGTCTTCCTGCTCAGGCTGCTGAGTCGTYGGGTGAAGGACGCACTTCCCACTATCAATCTCCACGCGAACGTCAAGCTCAAAGTCGATGTTTTTTTCAGGAGTTGGGCCGCTGAAGCTGCGGTTAACTGGTGAGCTGGGCCAGCGCTCCGTGAACAGCTGACTCACAGTAGAGAGGCCCAGGGGCTTCCTGTGAGGCGCTTGGCTGAGAAGAACAAAGGTGAAACGGTGAATGAGGTGCAAAAGAAATACTTATTTTCCCCCCTGGCTTAATGAATTATTTGGGTTTTTTATAGAACAGATGGAAAAGCATGACAACTGTGCTCTAAACCTCTAAAAAGCATTACTTTTCCAGCAAACTTCACAAGTATTTCAACATTAAATCAAAGATTTCTTTAACAAAAATTCCTAATAAAATGACCAGTGATCATGTGAAACCTAAGCCGTTTATCCCAAGAATGACAGCAGAAGACAACTCACAAAGGCCTGGGGTAGTTCGACGGTTTCACAAACTCGTCCTCCTTCTCTGAGTCTTCGGAGGAGGAAGAAGACGGGTCGTCTCGCTGCAAGGGAATGGCGGGTGAGAAGACAGCAGGGGTGGAGGGGGTACTGAAAACTGACCGCTGGCTTTCAACATCAGATGGAAAATGAAGGTGAGGATGAAGATGGGATGGTTCATCGGGGGTGACGGGCAACAGGTCCACCTCTGACTCCTCAGGAAACTTCAGAGAGGGACAGAGAGTCAAACTCACACAAAGGTTTCAGAATCTAAAGACAAATCCAAACCCTCTGGGAGATTTAGACGACAGGAAGCAGGAAATYCAGACCAAGGAATCAAACTTTGAARGACCAAGTTGAGAATTCAGTTGACTTTTCATAAAAAAGAAACTCTGCTGAGAAACTGTCCATCTAACCAAGTCTTTGTCTTATCCCGACAAAGTTTTTTTGAACTTGTTTTATGTATAACAAAAGCAGAAAATGTAAGRTTATTTAGCCTCATTACCCTGGACATTTTCCTTATTTCAAGAATCTTACCAAGTGCATTTGTTCTTAATCCACTGGCATTTTATTTTCAMTTRATTTAAGAAATATGAGACAATTCAGACTCAAATTACCGGTAAGTGAAATAATCTGCTAATGGAATAAGAACAATTGMATTTGCTAAAATTCTTGAAATAAGGAAAATTCCCAGGGTAATGAGGCTAAATAACCTTACATTTTCTGCTTTTATTAWACATAAAACAAGATCAAATAAACTTTTTGTCTGTATATAAGATAAAGACYTGGTTAGATAGACAGTTTTTTCAGAGAAAACCCAACCAGCCTATAACTGTTCACCAAGAAGCTGAGAGACTCCCTCTGTTTGGAGGAACTCTGAGAAAAGAAGGACATCCAGACCCCCACCCCACCCCTCCACCGGAGGAAAAGCCTGCGACATACAGCACCTACAAACACAACCAAAGCAAAGAAAAAAAAACACACCCAAGAAAATCTACAGACAAGCAAATTTTCTACAKTTTAACTGCTTATTTGTGTAGTTTTTAGTGCAGAGTGTCCTCTATTTACAAAGTCAGTTCTAATAGAGGCATTATGTACAGAAAAGACTAAATCATTACTGTCTGAATTAAAAAATAACCAGTAAATGAACACTTACGTGGGAAAAGCCTGAGGGTCAAAATGTTATTGAATAAAGTGAAATATTTAGTCCTCTATTGACTTCATTCAGAAGTAGATTTCATTAGTTATTATTTCCCAACAATTTAGTTTAATCAGTAAATGGAACTGATTCTGTTAATCTCTGCAAAAAAATTGTTAATGATATATCAGGTAAGAAATAAGAAAATTAGGTTTAAGAGGGCTAAAGACACCATTTAAACCTTTTATTAATTTGTCAGTGCAATCAAATACTCTGATTCTGCATGGGTAGACAAATCAGATGAAGTACTCTTCTATCAAAACTAGTTTATTCCAGAGAGGAAAAGGCCGTCCGTTGTGACAAATGAAGCAAAACATGCAGAGATGTTAGAAACCATCCAAATGTTCAGGTTAAAGAGAAGCTGCTGGATTTATTATGCAGATTCATGACAGGATGAAGGCAGGAAACGCCTCAATAAATTCAGTGCTGGCTCTTTTRTATACGGTTCACGATCCTATAGAGAAATTTTAAAGAAACTTTACATTTCTGGATGACATCAGACACAAGCAATGCTTAACTGGAGCCAAACAAACAGGAACATGGTTTGTCCTGTGCAAAGATATTAGACTTTTAGCACATCATCCTGTTTTGATTGTTCATAATCAGAATCCAATCAGCACGTAAAGGCCAATTCCATCAGGAAAAAGAAGATGCAGAAGAATTTAGTAAGAGTTGATCAGAATTCTTTGATTTGTTACATTTTATGTTTGAACCATGTACCTTAAATACACATCCTGGACTGACAGGTGAATGCAGAGGGTCCACAGCCTGACAATTATTTATTAATTAAAGAGGGTTATTTAAAAATAACAAGATTTTGAAAATACCTTGTTAAAGTAACAAACACATGCAGAAATGGAGGATGAAATGGTGATGATGAAAATAAAACAACAGTCAACTCTTCAGTTAAGTCACGGAAATGAAAATATTTTAATTTTAGCTGTCCCCGCTCGACAAGCACATGAAATATTAAGGATGTTTATCTTTTACCGTGTCCTGGATGTTGAAGGTGACGCGGGGTCCCGGAGAGGAGACGTCCACACGGATTTCTGTGAAGTCATCCACATCTCCGATCCTGGAACTGAAGACACGGTTTAACGATGCAAACATGCACAAACTGCATCTGAAACACTCGAAAATATAAAATCATTTAAAAACCACTTAGGCTGTATTTAGATGAGCCATGAGCTCATCGGTGTAATCAATATTCAACTCAAAGAGCAAGGAAGTTATTAGTTGTTCATATCTTAAAAACATTTTAATTGCGTAACATTTCCACTTATGCAACAGCAGATAAAGTGTACAGAGGATTGAAACTGACATGATTAGAAATAAAAGCAGAAATATCTGGACCAATAGATACACTAAAAATGCACCAATTAAATTAACAAAGAAGAACCTTACCACGTTTTATAATTTAACTGACCTTCATATTTATTTTTCAAGCTTAGTCCCAATAAATTATATATTTTAGCAAATAATTTACATTTTACTGTTTTAAAATTTATTTTTTAAAACAGTAATTACATTGGTTTTCTTTTAACTTGTGTCTTTAATGATTTATTCGTTTTTTTAATCATTTTCCTCACAAGTTTTATTTCCATGTGTTGCTTTTACATGTTTACCGTTTTTACTTTACCTTAATGCATATTGGGGGTGATCCTTCTTGGCTTAGCTCCTCTCCTATTGGTCAATGGTGCATGCCTGTGCTGCCTTAGTTTAGCTTGAAGTTTAATTTTTAGTTAAAAACAAAAGCAAGGAGGAAAACTCTTACCAGTGCTTTTTTTTTTAACTAAACTTTCAACTTTTTTCTAAATTGAGGCAGCACAAGCATGCCCAGTGGATCTGCACATGGATCCTGCTTCTTCCTGTCTGTTGACCAATAGGAGAGGAGCTCACCCAGGAAGACCCGCCCACCTTATTTACATAATACGTAAAATGCATAAATGCAGGAGACAGAGAAATGTAAAAGCAACACATAAAAGGATGCACAAGTAAAAGAAAAACAGAAATATATATTTTTAAAAACAAAAAAATGTAAATTATGTGCTAAAATACATAATTAATTGAAAATAAGCTGGAAAGATAAATAGGAAGGTCAGTTAAATTATAAAACATGAGGTAAAGTTCTCATTTTTCAATTTAATGCAATGTATTTTAAGTGTATTTATTTACTGATTGGTCCATTTATATATTTCTGCTTTTATTTCTAACTATGACAGTGTCAGTCCTCCATAAAGTACTGCCCTTACTGCTCCACACCTTTGTCGTTCTACTCTTTTCAGAGTCGGTCGGCCCGCTGCTGCTGAGATGCTTTTTGAGCGGTTGTAGCTCGGCTTGTAGCCGAGACCCCATTTGTCCTTTAAAGAGGCCGCCTGCGTAGTAACAAACAGAAAATAATCGATAAAAGAATAAATTAAAACAACATCCAGGCTTGATTTACATCTATTTTATGTCACAAGCTCTAAAAGTGATTTGGTATGTTTCTGCTCAGGGAAAAGTAAAAGAGTGACCCTCATGCTGGAGCGGCGCAGCTTCTTTCTGACGTCCCTCCGGATGTCGTTGACGGCCACCGACTCCAGCTGCTGGTACCGCTGRATCTCCTGGTTGATGGTACCTTCACTGGCTCCCAGTTTTCTACAATGAAAAGCGTGGAAGTACTGTAGGTATTAAAATAATTCCATAAAGCAGAATCAGTCGGCATGGGGAGGAARTAATCTAACTTGAGGTCATCGATGACTTTGGCCTGTTCGTTCAGCTCTCGAATGTCCACCACCCTCTTCGAGAACTTCCTCCCACGAGCGTCGGTCACCTGGTTCCCCATCACCATCTGCCTCCTTGGGTCAATGGTCTCCTGGTAAACAAGTAACCCACATCAACACAGACATCATACCTGATAAAAAAGGACGACAAACCAGTGAATTATGATTAAACCTAAGGATTAAACCAACAAATCCCAGCTGAATGATTCAGTCTATTATCCTGTCACAAAACATGCGACCCCACCACCACCAACACCACCCCACTCAAAGACAAAAAGTGGAAAAACAAAGCTCTACTGCCCCAGCGAATCAATGATAACAAATATTTTCTATTCACCCAACACTGGGAAAAAAAAAGCGCTTCTCTCTATGATCAAATTATTTCCCCAACAATTAAACAGATCTGCTCAGCATTTCTGGATCCAAAAGCCTCATTTGTAGCCTGCAGGTGACTGACACACGGCCAAGTGATTCCGTCAGCCCAGAGGACAGTCCACACTGTGGGTCACTACATACACAAGCCCAGGAGAGGGGTCTTTGGGCCTTGGCTCTGTCCGTTTGGAGGCCAGGCGGTGCACAGTTTATGTAGACCGATGGGTCACATTCACTCTGAGGCCTGGGGCTGAGGCCCAGGATGTGGTTTACCAGACGCTTCCTTAAGGTGAGCCGAGGGCTGGCCTGGCTCTCTGGACTCTGCAAACAACGGCAGGGACAGATCGATGGAAAGGAGGAAGAACGGTCCGATTTGTGTCAGGCTTCAGAAGCTTTGTCTGAAGCAGGGGTGGGCAATCCTGGTCATCTGCGGGGCTGCCACTAAACCTGCATGTTTTACTTGTTTCCGTGCTCCAACCCACCCAATTCAGTGATTGGATTACCTCTAAGTTCTGCAGAAGCTTGGTCGTCAACCACTTATTCAAATCAGGTGTGTTGCAGCAGAGAAACAAGCAAAACATTCAGGACAGAGGAAAACATAGACCAGGACGGACCACCCCTGCCTCAGACAAAACTCCTAAAGCTACGGTAAACCAGGGTGGATTTATTTAAATGTACGTGCAAAAAATAAAAAGCACAGCTCCACATTACTAAAGACACAATTATTCACTTTCCTACTAATAATTGAGAAAACAGAACTCAGTCTTGTTTGTAATTTATACAGGTGCTAGTCATAAAATTAGAATATCATGAAAAAGTAGATTTATTTCAGTAATTCCATTTAAAAAGTGAAACTTGTATATTATATTCATACATTACATACAAACTCATATATTTCAAATGTTTATTTCGTTTAATTTTGATGATTACAAATGACAACAAATGAAAATCTCAAATTCAGCATATCAGAAAATTAGAATATTACTGAAGACCAATAAAAACAAAGGATTTATAGAAATGTTGGCCAACTGAAAAGTATGAACATGAAAAGTATGAGCATGTACAGCACTCAGTATTTAGTTGGGGCTCCTTTGGCCTGTATTACTGCAGCAATGCGGCGTGGCATGGAGTCGATCAGTCTGTGGCACTGCTCAGGTGTTATGATAGCCCAGGTTGCTCTAATAGTGGCTTTTAGCTCTTCTGAATTGTTGGGTCTGGTGTATTGCATCTTCTTCTTCACAATACCCCATAGATTTTCTATGGGGTTAAGGTCAGGAGAGCTTGCTGGCCAATTAAGAACAGGGATACCATGGTCCTTCAACCAGGTACTGGTAGCTTTGGCACTGTGTGCAGGTGCCAAGTCCTGTTGGAAAATGAAATCTGCATCTCCAAAAAGTTGGTCAGCAGCAGGAAGCATGAAGTGCTCTAAAACTTCCTGGTATGTGGCTGCGTTGACCCTGGACCTCAGAAAACACAATGGACCAACACCAGCAGATGACATGGCACCCCAAACCATCACTGACTGTGGAAACTTTACACTGGACTTCAAGCAACGTGGATGAAGTGCCTCTCTTCTTTTCCTCCAGACTCTGGGACCTTGATTTCCAAAGGAAATGCAAAATTTACTTTCATCAGAGAACATGACTTTGGACCACTCACCAGCAGTCCAGTCCTGTTTCTCTGTAGCCCAGGCAAGACGCTTCTGAYGCTGTCTGTGGTTCAAGAGTGGCTTGACACAAGGAATGCGACAGCAGAAACCCATGTCTTTCATACGTCTGTGTGTGGTGGTTCTTGAAGCACTCACTCCAGCTGCAGTCCACTCTTTGTGAATCTCCCCCACATTTTTGAATGGGTTTTGTTTCACAATCCTCTCCAGGGTGCGGTTATCTCTCTTGCTTGTACATTATTTTCGACCACATCTTTTCCTTCCCTTCGCCTCTCTATTAATGTGCTTGGACACAGAGCTCTGTGAACAGCCAGCCTCTTTAGCGATGACCTTTTGTGTCTTGCCCTCCTTGTGCAAGGTGTCGATGGTCGTCTTTTGGACAACTGTCAAGTCAGCAGTCTTCCCCATGATTGTGTAGCCTATAGAACTAGACTGAAAGACCATTTAAAGGCCTTTGCAGGTGGTTTAAGTTAATTAGCTGATTAGAGTGTGGTACCAGGTGCCATCCATTTTGAACCTTTTCACAAGATTCTAATTTTCTGATATGCTGAATTTGAGATTTTCATTTGTTGTCATTTGTAATCATCAAAATTAAACGAAATAAACATTTGAAATATATGAGTTTGTATGTAATGTATGAATATAATATACAAGTTTCACTTTTTAAATGGAATTACTGAAATAAATCTACTTTTTCATGATATTCTAATTTTATGACCAGCACCTGTACATGAAGCTAGAATGAAAGTTTTACTTAGTATAAAACTGTTCAAATAGTTCGTAAAAAAACATACAAAATGAAAGAACTAGAACTAACAAGATATATGTAAACTTATATTGTATGATTCATATTCATTGTTTTATACCTTTTAGACAAAGACTTAGAAAAAAATGTGTAGAAATTTGACTTAACTTTGACAATAAAGGTTTTTGTGGAAAAAATAAATAATTAAAAGAAAGAAAGCCAATTTATATTAACCGTAAATAAGTTATGGCAGCGATAAAGACATAAAAACTATTCCTTTACCTCGTTATAAAACTATCAGCATAAGTAGACCTCATTTTTAGAGATTTTCTTTATTATTGTTAATCCTAAATGAACGGTTATGTTTTGTAACTGGTTTCATGATGGTCGGTCTCAAAACTTTACACTGCGTCACAATCGTTCGCTCTATTCTCACCATGTTTGTTAAATCTGAGCATTCTTCCTAATCCAAACTCAGCTAGCAGTTAAATGAACCTGGTAATGTCTGACCATGTGGATAGTTGGTGACATCGAATCGGTTTCGTCCTCGTCCGACAGGTCTCCCATGTTCCCAGAATTCAGGTCAGCGATGTCGTCTACGTCCTCCTCGCCCGTGAGCGACGTCAGCGTGTTTCCCAGGGCATTGAGGCGTTTCCCGATGTTTGGGTCCATGTGAACGTCGATCCCGCACATTTTCCAAAGCACGTTGAGAGTCCAGGTACCGGCGCTGCTGCTCTCTGTGTCCAGGAAGAGGAAGCCAGGAGGGAAATGAAACAGAATAAACAGTTCTTATTATAGTCTCTTGGAAAATGTGCAGCTCTGAAGTGAGGTCAAGGTTTTACAGAAGAAAGACTTGCCTGCAGACGGTTGTCCTGTGGTCCTAGAACACACTTCATACGTACCATCAGGGACTATGCCTGTGAAGACGCACAAAACTGACTGAGCGACTGATGAACGATTCAGGTCATTAATTTGCCTAAATAYTGAGTATTTCACTTAAATCATGGATTTTGTACATCAAGGTTCCGACAGCTTAAGGAAAGTTAAATTTAAGACTTTCTAAAACGTTTTTAATGCCTCTTGAAATGAAATTTAAGACCAACTTCACAATAAACACCAATGTAAAAAACAAATAAATTTAGAACTATTTTAATACAGAACAACTAGTTGCTAACTATTATAATATCAGACAAATTACAATCATCCTACTTACAATGTGTTAACATAAGACCTCTGAAAGATCTGACTTAAGACCTTTTAAGGCCAACTAAGGTCTTATTTTTAGATCTATGAATTCAATGCCTTTTAAGACTTTTTAAGACTAAGGTCTTATTTTTAGATTGATGAATTTGATGCCTACTGTTTAAGGCCAACTAAGGTTTTATTTTTAGATCTATGAATTCAATGAATTCAATGCCTACTGTTTAAAGCCAACTAAGGTTTTAAAAGGAAAAAAATTGTATAGGTCCTCTGGACGGGTTCTTCTCTAATGAAACGTTTCGTCTCTCCTCCAAGAGACTTCTTCAGTCTGAGAGTTTCAGGCAAAATTCAGGCTTTTGAGCACTGCCTCAATGTGACTGATACTCACATCACATGGCTATCGTTCACACCTAATTAACACCTATTGTTAACAGGGGGTGGAGTGATACTGCCAATGGCAGCGCTGTAGGAGGGGGACAACTGAAAACGGAGGCCTCCACCTCTGTTTAATGATGGACGGTCTTTCTTCACAAAAATGGCTTCTTTTACTCCTCTCTCAAACCAACGTTCCTCTCTATCAAGAATGAGAACATCCTCATCTCTGAAAGAGTGACCGCTGGTCTGTAAATGAGTGAAAACTGCAGAGTTCTGGCCATTAGATGTAACTCGTCTGTGTTGGGACATTCTTTTGAACAGTGGTTGCTTTGTTTCCCCGATGTATAACTGGTCGCAGTCCTCCTGGCACTTAATAGCATATACAATATTGCTCTGTTTGTGCCGGGGCACCGGATCTTTGGGGTGAACCAGCCTTTGCCGTAATGTGTTTTGGGGTTTGAAAGCCACTGGGACATCATGTTTAGAAAATAAACGTCTCAGTTTCTCCGAAACACCCGCAACATACGGAATAACCACTGGTTTGGGTCTGGGTTTGGGGTGAAACTAAGTTTTTATTTTTAGATCTATGAATTCAATGCCTTTTAAGACTTTTTAAGACTAAGGTCTTATTTTTAGATCTATGAATTCAATGCCTTTTAATACTTTTTAAGGCCAACTAAGGCCTTATTTTTGGATCTATGAATTCAATGCCTTTTAAGACTTTTTAACACTAAGGCCTTATTTCAAGATTGATGAATTCAATGATTTTTAAGACTTTAAAGCTAACTAAGACCTTATTTTTAGATTGATGAAGTCAATGCCTTTTAAGACTTTTTAAGGATCACTGGGAACCCTGTACATGGAAATTTGTGGCACAGGTAGATGTTTTGTCTCTCACAAGCGTTCATGACGAGATCTCCCCGGATTTCAGGTTTCCAGTCGTCCCAGGTGGTCTCGAAGCCCTCTGCGAAACGAATGCAGAAGTTCTTGAAGTGCCCTTTGCTCACCAGGGACTCGGAGGAGCAGGCGGTGATCAGCGTGCTCTCGATGGTCAGAACCAGAGCCGAACCGGTGTCAAAATCTATGCTGTGATTGGCCTGGAGGAAGGGAAACAAGAGTTATTCGGTCCTTAAGGGAGGAAGGAAGAAAACGTGGAAAATGACCCATTTCCAGGTGATTTGAAAAAAGGCAGAGTCTGCTGGTAACGTTTCACTTCACTACTTGCTGTGGCTGCTCTGTTAAACAAATGAAAGAAAAGGAAAAGTGGTTTTAAATTACTTCAAATTAAGATGTTTTGAGTTTTTGCAAATAAAATCTAAGAATGATCTTTTCCTTGTTTTCAATCACTTCATAGTAAAACGTTACCAACTATTTACAGCTTGTTAGATTCAGTTTATTTTCATAATTATGTATATATAAAAAAGTGCTCATATTGCAGTGATTTCAGGTCCCACGATTGGAGTCTGATTGTCATCCCGCTTGGAACCAGCGAAAGTAAAAATATTTCCGCTTTTAAACAACCCAATTAACAGCTTTTATTGTCTGGATGAAAAATCAGATCACATTTTTATGAGCAATTATCGCAAAGCATTTCCAAATGTCAGCAATGTCCTCCAGGCAAACGAAGCCCGCCGCATGCAAAGTGGGCAAGAGAGACGGAACAAAGACGCACGCAGTTTTATCAAACAGATGGCAAATCCTCCGCACACAAACCGGCATCACCTTACTTCTTAGTAAGAACACACCACAGGCACCAGCTCAAACATCGCAGGCTGTTACACCAACTTTGTAAAAGAAACTTGTTACACCAGAAACAAGAAAAACCACCACTGATGTGTCAAAATTGATGACAGATTTTTTTAAAGAGGAGCATCACAATCATTTGAACCCCACAACAAGCCATCACAAGAGCTGTAAGAAGAGAACAGAAACAAACTGCAGGGTTACTTTCAGGGTTTTTTTTTGCTGGCCCACTGGTGTGGTGGTCTCAGCTTCAGAGCTGCCCTCCTGTGCAGCCGGTACTTGTCCTTTCTATAGAAACAAGTTTTGAGTATCAACAAAAACTGAACACTAAAGCATTAATAGCTTAGCATCACACATTTCCAAACAAACCTTTACCAACAGTTTTTTTTGTAAAGGTGTTTAAAAATAAAGTCATAAGTTTTTGTTTATAAAAAGAATGTGCTGTGATTGTTTTCTCTGGAAAATGTGACAACGTGCTGCTGCTTGTTGAACGAACATAAAAACTAGAAAAATATTGGAGACATCATTAAAAAAGTTCTGACGCCAACACTAACTCTTGCAGATTACCTGGGATGTGTTGGTAATTGGGAGGCATATACCCAAGTCATTGACAGTCAGCTGCAGGAAGAGGGTGCTGAACGCCTGGGCTGAAGTCTGCTGGATTCCCGGCAGCTTGTCCACCACCTCTTTCGTGGCCACGTGGATGTCTTTGTTGAGGGCCAATCGCTGCTCGTTCCAGTTGTCATATGCTGCCTTGTAATTCAGCCAGAAGAGCACAGCTGCAGCCGTGCAAAGCAGTGGGCAGGGAAAAAAATAAAACAAAATTTAGAAACTGAATGTCACTCAAACAGGAAATACAACTATATATATGTACACACTTGTATCGAACAATACAGATTTTTCAAATTTACTTTATCAACTTTTCTTCTGAAGATGTTCTGTGTTTTAGAATCAGTGGATCTGTGTTCGACTACTCCACCTAGGCTGCATTGACGAGTCCAGATCCACTGAGAAACTTGCTGTTTCAGCAACATTTAATTTGAAAACTGTAGATTTTCTGAATCGTTGCACCCCTAATATATACTCTTCTAAAATCACTAATGCAAGAATAAAAGGTAACTAAACCTCTGTCAAAAGCAACTGGCTGTGCAAAAACAATGGGCCTGTTCAGGGTTATGAGCACAGCCTCCTTGTCAGAAGAGCCACTGATCTCCTCCTGCAGAGCGTTCCGCAGTCCGATTCGAGTTCGGAAGTACGCCACCTGGTGGAAGTCGGAGCCAGCTTCTTCGTACACCTGTGAGACGAGAGGAAAAAAAAAACGTAAATAAATGTGGATTCTGGGTTTGGGCGCGAGGCAGAGGAAGCCCGATGCTCACCTGATGCTTGACGATCTGTCCGAGCGCCAGGTTCAGATCCACTTGACATTTGCCGAAGAGTTTGAGGTAACTGCTGCTGCCTCCGGGCTGGGTCTTGCACTGGATCCTGTTGGACAGCTCCAGCTCAATCAGGCCCGTTTCGAAGCGCACGGCCCGCATGGACGGAGTGGTGGCTGTCATCTGGATCCCCTGCAAACACAAACACGCGATCAAATGCATTAAAACGACACAAACGTCAAACATTTTCTCATGGAAAGCGAAGCGGTTGGGATTTAACAAACCTTGAACATGAGGCTGAGAGAGTACAGCAGAATTTTGGGCTTTTCTGCATCTGTGGAGGTGTCGTGCTCATTCCACAGAGGGATGGGTTGCTCCACTCCTGGCAAACAGACAAAATAAACCCTGTCAGAAAGTGAGCAGTTGCTTCTGCGTCTCGTCGGAGCAACTTTTTAATTCTGGTCCCTGGTGTGAATACTCAATGATCAGCTGAAAGCAACACTATCCTTCACCCCAGAATGGCTTCCAACTCTCACTCCGCTCTCTGCTGGACAATTACATCGATCAAGCTTAGTGAGGTAAACAAATCACCATCAATACTGTTCTGGAAATAAACACGACTGGATTCGTGTCAGCGCCTCGGGTGTTGTTTTGTGTTGAGAAAATAAAAAGATTTGTTCTGTGATTTAAGCAGCTTCTGTGGGGAACAGTTGCACGTTTAAGAAGAAATGAACTTTAGTGATTTGTGACAAAAACTGGGTCAACAGCAAATAAAATGGTATGATTTAGAAAAACATAAAGGCTCCAGGTGTAAAACAAACGTTTAAATGTTTTGCAAAAGAAAAGATAATTTCAATGATGGTACCTGAAACCTTCTGAATGACTTCATTGACTTCTTTCATGAAAACTTTCTGCAGAAAAACCAGGTGGTTGAGCAGGTCGGTGGTCAAGTTGTGCTCAAATGATCCGATCTGTTCCAGCAGCGAGAACAACAAACACATGAATTCATTCTTATTTCTCTTAGAGAAACATCGAAACGATGGAAACAAAGTTCACCTCAGCCACACAGCGCAGGTAGTTGCCCTGCAGGTAGTTTCCCTGCTTGGCTGGGAAGTCATCTGGTGCCCAGCTCTGGTCTGAGTGGCTCTCATGATCCTCCATGATGTATTCTCCGGACATGGTAACAGGAGGCAGAGTCAGGCTGGCTGATGGAGACATGGTGGACATGTCCACCTGGGACACTTTGGACTGAAAACACAGCTTGTGGTTTGGCAACTCGAAAGTGAAACTTGTTTGTGCTCCTAAAGACAAAAGACAAAGAAAAAAAWTTCCATTTATTTTTTTAACTACAGAATTTGCATTTCCTGTGAAACTATAATGTGAATCCAGTGTTGAAAGACTTTTGCTGAAAGTTGCTGAAACAGCAAAATTTAGCTCAATATCTTAAAAAAAGTCACTAATGATGCAAAAATTAAGAAACTAACATTCTGTTCTGTTTTCTACTGAAGTGGCTACAAAAATAAATGAAAAATGATTCAGTTGAAGGTAAAAGAACTTAACTCAGCATGAAACAGCTGAAATTAGTGGAAAAGTAACTAAAACATAACCAGGCTAAAATTAGCTAAAACTAGCAAGAAATTTAAATTAGTCAAACAGTAAAAGGACTATAAAAAATTTCAAATTAGATTAAAGAATATAAAAAAGTGGTACGAAACAGCTGCAGTTTGT